AACCAAACAACACAACTATACGCTGTAGATGATTGAGTTGATGCGGCATCCACTGGTATTGCTGCAGTTCAAACAGTGAGGAAACAACACTGGCGAGTATTTTCCGTGTTTTTGTTGATCAGTGCACCTCAAGCAACATGATGATGCGCACGACGGTGCTGGTGGCTTTGGCGGCGGTCGCTGCCGCTGCCGCTGTCGCCGTGGCCACGGAGGAGCTGCCAACGCTACGACTGACGTACGTTGTTGGCTGGGTTTGAGACGGGGCGGAGAGAGTGTGTGTGGTTGGGAAATGCCATACTTGGCCATGATCTTTGGGGCAGGTCACTGGCACAGTGATCGCCTTCTTCTCTCTCGATTGATCGTAGTGTGGTTTGGACAGCACTCACAACACTTGAACACCCTACCCCCCTGCGCTGGGTCTTCACCGCGTGTATCGTAGGCGACAGAACCGTCACCAATATCTGGATCAGCTGCAAGGGGCTGGCGCACCCACCCAGCCTGTACGTCCTTGACCTGACGCTGCGATGTAGCTTGCCATCTGCAAATCGTCGATCCCTGCCCCATCATTTGCAACTGACCATGGGTATGCTTTCTCGCAGACGCGCACCGAACTGCTATCCATGAGTCGCGATGAACTCTTGGCTTATGCCCTTCGCGACCTTTCCGAGCCCGAAGCCCCTGCTGGTACGTTCTGGAAGGAAGTCGCCCTACATGCTTGACAATCTGATCAGAAGTCTTTTCAGGATCGTGCTGATTCTGTCTCTGACCGTTGACCCTGCCTGAATCCTCGGCCCTGTCTGATGACCGGGCTGCCTTGCACAGCTGCCCAGTACTGGTGGAAGTACCCCGGCCAGGATTGCCCGAATGATGACTTGTCAGGCAGTTGCGCGGTTGGTCTTCATGCCCAGGCTCAGTCTCCCAACTGGTCCCATGTTGTTTTTGTTTTTCGCTGACTGACTCTTTTCCTCAATGCCCTTGAATTTCACATTGGCCTCGCAGGGTAGCTCCTTGGCCGAGTGCAAGAAGATGTGTTTGGAAATGGAGGGTTGCGGTGGATTCAACTACCCGCACGGCTACTTGAAGCAATCTTCCTGTGAGGACAAGATCAAGGGCTCCCCCACCGTCGACCTCTACGTCCTCAAAGATACCCCTCAGCCCAATGCCTCGGTCAACTTCCCGCCCATCTGGCCTCATCCGCAGTCTTTTTCCAACGGTACCACCACCGTCATGGTACGCCTCGCGCTCTCTGTTACGACTTGGCCGATTCCATCATAGTAAACCAGCAAAGTTATGCACCCGGCCCCCTTCTGCCCTTGACCCATACACTAGGTGGACGCGCCCCGTTTCACGTTCTCTAGCAACATTTCTTCAGACGATCTCAAGGCTGCTTTTGAGCGCTATACGCCTCTGTTTTTCCCACAACAAGGCTCGGCGACCAACCGAGATGCCATCGTGGGCGTCATTGTACGCTAAACCCTGGCCCTCACTTGCGCTCCTCGCCAAGTCCCGTACTGCCTGGTGCATGCGTGTTTCATTCATCCATGAACGATTTCTCCTCGTGGCATGCGAGTCCCTGTAGTTCCATGTGGCAAGCGATAGCACCGAGCTCCAACTAGAGACCTCGGAGAAGCATGAGATTTCCATTCCAAGCAAGGGTGGCAACATCATGGTGACCGCCGACACCATTTATGGTGCCATGCGCGCTCTTGAAACTATTTCACAGCTCATCCAGTTTGACTATGATACCAACGTATGCTTAACCGGGACTCCCGTGTGTTCGCTTATCTGTACTTTGGAAACGCCCCTCATTCTTGGTTCTTGGCGTAGAATTACTTTATTGCCAATGCTCCTTGGGCCATCACCGACTTTCCGCGCTTTGCTCACCGCGAGATTCTCGTGGACACGGCTCGTCACTACCAATCAGGTTTGTTCCGCCTCGAGCGTGAGCCCGTGTCCATTGCAGATATACCCACATGCGCCAGCCATGGTCTGATTGTTGTGCAACCGTCTGTCAACAGTCATGGCCATCAAGTCAATGATTGACTCAATGACCTATGCCAAGGTCAATGTGGTCCACTGGCACATTGTGGACACACAGTCATTCCCCTTTATGAGGTGCGTCCAAACTCCCGTTGTCAAGGGTGTTTGAGATCAAGGTCTTTATTTTTGTCAATGTGCATCCATAGCCCCACCTATCCCGAGCTGGGCTCCAAGGGTGCTTATAGCAAGACGGAGCGTTTTTCTCCTGCCGATGTGGCAGAGGTTGTTGAGTACGCGCGCCAACGCGGTGTTCGTGTCATGGTTGAAATCGGTGCGTCATGGCTTGGACTTTGCTTTGTGCATGCCTTCTACTCCATGCCGTGTGCCCCTCCACTGACAGCCACGGGGCGGTTGGATTTGTTTGCAGACACACCGGGCCACGCTGCGTCCTGGTGCAACGGACACCCTGAGATTTGCCCATCACCGGACTGCCCACAGCCCCTCAATCCGGCCACCAACAAGACCTTTGATGTCCTCTCTGGCCTTTTCAAAGACGTGACGGGCGGCGAGCGCGGTGCTGGTCTTTTCCCAGATAACGTCATGCATTTGGGTACGTGGCGACAGCTGCTTGGGCCATGAGGACACCAAAAAAAAAAATTGTCCCGTTGGATCGACTGATGCTTACGACGCGTGTTTGCGTGCAGGTGGTGATGAAGTCAACACCGACTGCTGGGCAAGCAATGCGGACATCAGCAAGTGGTTGTCTGACCAAGGCTTGACACTGGATGGTGGCTACGCTTACTTTGTCAAGCGTGCGCAGGTAAGCTCTGCGACCCATCGGAATAGGAGCCAACTCGCTTTGCTAAGGGGGTTCTGAATTGCGCCGATAGGCCATTGCCCATGGTTACGGCCGTGATGTGGTTGGTTGGGAGGAGATCTGGGACCATTTTGGCACCCAACTCGACAAGTCGACCATCATCCACCAATGGTTAGGAGCACGGCATGCATCGCTCAACCTGCTGCGTCCTGCAGGAGCGCTCACTGCCGGTATTGGGTACTGCGTAGGCTTCCTGGCTCCACCATTGCCATCAACGCAACTGAGCATGGCTACCGCGTGCTCTGGTCGACGGACGGGGTCTGGTACGTTGCCGGTTCTTCCCGCGTTTGTGCTTTGTGGCACCGCTTACTCGTGGTGCTGCTCCTGTTTGCCCATCTTGGTGGCCACGCTGTGAACTCTGAACGGGGCCAACAGGTACCTGGATGGTCTCGACGTTACATGGCAGACCATGTATGAGCAAGAACCTTGCACCGGTACGTGAGCGTTCAACTCGTGCGCATCGGGAAGCGTATCTCCGCTCGAGGGCGTCTTGGGCATGAGCTCTCATGCATGCGCATAGGTATGACCGATGACCAATGTGCCTTGGTCCTGGGTGGTGGCGGTGAAATGTGGGGCGAGGTACGTTTTTGTGAGACCCATAAGCTTCCTGCGTAGTGATCGTGCTGATCATTCATGGCGTGAAACGACCTGGCCCTCAGACGGTGGATTTCAGTGACTGGCACCAAACCGTGTGGCCGCGCATGGCCGCTGTGGCTGAGCGCCTGTGGAGCCCCCGCGAGCTCACCAACGCCGATGATGCCAGCACCCGTCTCGTGGCTTATCGCTGCCTCCTCAACCACCGCGCCATTGCGGCAGCTCCCAGCACCAACTCGGGCGCACGTACAGCTCCCAGCGGTCCTGGCTCCTGCTACGACCAGTAAACCTGCCGTGGGTCACGCTCCCCAGCAGCAAGGGGCGCGGGTGAACGAATGCCATGATGCACACTTGAGTGCGGCCAATTCTTCCCCGCGACAGTCGGTTATGCGTCTGCACTGCTCGCTGCCGGTGTGTTTGCTTCGCTACCAAGCGCTCCAGCCGGGTGGCATCGCCTTTTGTGTTGTCCCTGCTCTCGGCTGGTGTTTTGATAAATTGATGTTGATGTCACTTTGCGAATCTGTGCAACGTCCTTTTGCATCATCAATATCTAATCACTCAGGGCGAGTGTTTGGTCAAACCGACTCGCATCCCAACGTTCTGGACAAGATGGACCCTGTCTCTCTCTTTCTCTCTCTCTGTCGATAACTCTCCATCACTTTGAAAAACTCTCTTCTTCCTCTTCCTCTTTTTCTTCTTTATGTCTCTCTTTCAATCTCTCTCTCTCTCAAACTCAAACTCTCTCAAACTCTCTCGAACTCTTCTGTAAATCTCTCTCTCTTCCAAACTCTCTCTCTCACAACTCTATCTCTCTCTCTTTCTTCGTCATCCATTATTATCAGTTGAAATTGCTTCAAAGTTTCAAAGCCAAACCGCGGGACCGTCGGTCAGTGTAAGTGGCAGCCGCCTGATGGTCTCTGCCTGCAACGCTCCTGCAGTCCCTCGACCTGTGAGCTTGGTTGGCGTGTTGGTTGCTCGTACCTCTTTGATTCAGTTGAGACCCGGTGCTAAAGTCAAAGCGGCTCCTTTGCTTGTGCGCGTGCATGTGTGGAGCCTTTTTTTTTTTTTTTTTTTTTTTTTGAAACTTGTTCTGGAAGTGTGTGTGCAGAGAGTGCGGACGGTCGTGCTCAGCACTTCCATGAGCGTTGTGCTTCTTGCGTGGCCAAGATTGGCTTGGCTGCAGTGCAGTCCCGACCAGGTGTCTCGTCGCTATGGCCTCACGTTACCTCCTGGGTCTTGCAACCTCTAGGATATCTCGCTAGCAAGGGACACGTCCCGCCTCGTCCCTTACTGCTTGGACGTAGTCGCACACTGGCACCGAGGCCTTGCGCCCGAAGCAAGCCAAACCCAGCATGAGCGCAATGTTGCGCGCGCTCCTTTTTCGACCCGCACCCGGTGCACGGGCACAGTTTGTGGCGGTGGCTACCAGCTCTCGGAATTCTGCAGCCACCTGTCGCGAGTTAAGCTCCACGTCACGTTGGCGCGCCTCCGGCGTTCGAGTTGACGAGCACAACCAGACCCCGACGTGGTTGGCCGCTGGTGGTGACCTCAACTCGAGCCCATTTAACCCCCGCACCTCGTCGCTGGAGGTAAGCACTGTCGAAATTCTCCGGGGCATGCCTTTCTCACTTCGAGTCGCCTCTCAACCACTGCCCCGGACTTTCCAGACTGGTCAAGCGTTCATTGGATCGCCCACCCTGTACGCAAGTCGACGACGGGGTGGCGGCAGCAGCAACAGCCATGGAAATGACAGTGCTAGCCTTGGCGGCGCCGGCAGTCGAGCCGGCTCTAGCGGCCATGGCAATGATGATGACCACGATGACTCCGACGATGAAATCCGGGACGCGCTGCACGGCAGCTTCAAGAGCGGGGACGACCACGACGACCACGACGATAACGCCGACGACCACGACAACAACGAGGTACAGAGATGCTCCCCACAAGTTCTCGCTGATGCCACCGGTCTTGCCACTCCCACATCGCTCAAGCCATCCCTTCACCCATCGGTAGGATGTCAAGTTTGTGCGCGTTCGCCGCAACCAGGATGCTGACGCACCCCCTGATATCCATCTGGGCGCGGTAAGGTTCATTGCCAGGACTTGTCTGATCGCCCAAACTCCCATCAAGTTGTGTTCTGCATTCAACTTGTTTTTGCCTTGCAGGATCTGGTCGAGCCGGGCTCCAACGTGGTTGGCCCCATCCGCGTGCCAGAAAACTATCCCGAGGCCGTCATCATCCCCTTGGACCGCAACCCCCTCTTTCCTAAATTTGTCAAGCTTGTTGAGGTTGGCAAGCCATCATGCCCGCGTTGGTGTGCCCCGCAGTCTTTCTCAAGACCGGCCCTGCCCTTGTCTTCCCACCCTGCTAGATTCGCAACCCTGAGCTCATTGCCAAGCTACAACACTTGCGCCGCGTTCGCCACCCGTTTGTGGGCGCCTTCTTGCTCAAGCCTAAGACGTACGCCTGCTTGTGCATCCCTCTGTCTTCGTCGAGGGGGATGAATTCAATCCTTGCATCCCCCTCCCCCAGTGCTCACGCCAATGCTGTTACATTCCCCCAGGTTTGATGAAGCGCAACCTCCTGAAATCATTTCCAGCTTGGATGAAATTGAGCCTGTTGGCACGTTTGCGCAAATTCACGAAATGTCCACCTCCAAGGAAGGCTACTTGCGCATCATGCTCGAGGGTCATCGCCGGTACGCGCTCGAGTCGCGCCATACTCTTTCCAACCCTTTTGCGTTGTAGACCTACTCTGGAAGCCGAGCACCAGACCTGGCCCTTTGTCGCCGGAGGCATGTGGTGCACGGCCTTTTCGAGCAGTGCGCTCATCAACACGTCTTTTCTTGCGTCGGATGGCAGCATTCAAGCCACGGGCGTCGCGGATGACGATGAAGTCGTCGATACGCAATCCACGCATCCTCTCATCGCCAAGATTGAAAACTACCCTGAACAAAAGTTTGACCGCAACAGGCAAGTACCGCATGCGTCAGCCGTGGTGTGCCGCACCTTCGCCTTGCTTTGGGCGTACAAAGCTGCAGTTTCATCGGCACCACTAACCCAGTTCATGCTGCTCGCTACGGCATTCAACAGTGACCAGGTCAAAGCGCTGAGCAACGAGGTTATCGCAACTGTGCGGGATATCGTAGCCCTCAACCCAATGTACCGCGAAAACATGCAGCGCGTGGCCGAGATGGGCCAGCGGTAAGGGGCACGCTTTGCAATAGTCGGGACGCTCGACTCTACGTTACACAGCCGAGCCTTGAAACGCCGCCCGCTGCCCTTGTAGTAACCTGGACAACCCCGTGCAATTGTGTGACTTTGCGGCCGCCCTCACCTCTGGCAACCCAGAGGAGCTGCAGGGCATTCTTGAGGAAATGGACGTGGCTGTACGTTGCAGCGCGCGCTTCCCGCATCAAACGAGGCTTGGATAGCCATGCCACAAGCTGACTCTGCTTTGCTTTTGGTTAGGAACGACTCTACAAGACGCTAGAGCTGCTCAAGAAAGAGCTGCTGCAACTGAAGCTACAAGCCAAGATCAGCGAAGAGGTCCAGGAAAAGCTGCACAAACACAACAAGGAGGCCTTGCTTCGAGAACAACTCAAGGTGGGCTTTTTTTTTTTAAAAAAAAAAAAGAGTGGCCGTAACAATTGGTCGGGGCGCTCATTGACCTGTATGACGCACAGATTATCAAAAAGGAGCTGGGTATTTCCAAGGACGACAAGGATTCGCTGCTGGAGAAATACAAGGCCCAGCTCGAAAACAAGACGCTGCCGGATGACGTACGTACTTCTTTGCTCCTTGTGCATACGAAGCAGGCAGCATGGTGCTGCTGTTGCGCTGCAGCTCAACAACATCTCTCACGGTGCTGCAACAGGTTAAAAAAGTGGTGGATGAAGAGCTCAACAAGTTGAGCATGCTGGACAATCATTCCTATGAGTTTAACACATCACGCAACTATCTTGACTGGCTTACCACTCTGCCGTGGGGCGTCTACGGCGAGGTACGTCAGCTGCGCCAATGCCAACCAGCGCTTGTTCCTTTGGCGGTATCACTCACATGAAGCTGCTGGTTCCCCGCCGTACCTGACTTGCCGTTTATTTGTTTTCTCTTTTTCTCTTTCTCTTTCTTTTCTCGCTTTTTCTCTTTCTTTTTCTCTTTCTCTCTCTCGCGCCCGCGCCCTCCGTCTCGTTGTGGTGGTGGCAGGATAATTTTGACATTGAGCGAGCCCAGGCAATCTTGGACGAGGACCACTACGGCATGAAGGATGTTAAAGATCGTGTTCTTGAGTTTATCGCCGTTGGCAAGCTCCGCAACAGCATGCATGTACGTTTGGCCCGTACCAGGGCCAGCCACACGAGATGCCCGCGCTCGCCAGATTGAAAAGCAGAATTTGATGTCGCGTTCTTGCTCTGATTTGCACACGACTGGTTGCGTCACAGGGCAAAATTTTGACGTTTTCTGGTCCTCCGGGTGTTGGCAAGACATCCATTGCCAAGTCCATTGCCCGTGCTTTGAACCGGTTCGGCCATCAAAATTCTCTTTGTCACGTCTTTGCTACAATCATCTTGACACTTTGACAGTTGTTAATAACCTCATGGCCGTTGTTCCCATGCTCGATGCGATGACAGGGAGTACTATCGATTCTCGGTCGGCGGTCTGCATGATGTCGCCGAGATCAAGGGCCACCGTCGTACCTACGTCGGGGCCATGCCAGGTTTGTGCATGCCTCGTCCCGGCACATATCCTAGCTTTTCTTATCAATCCGTCTTGATTGATTGTCGACAGGCAAGCCAATCCAGTGCCTAAAAACCACGGGTACACAGAACCCTTTGATTCTTTTGGATGAGGTGGACAAGATCGGGCGGGGTGTGCATGGCGACCCCACCTCCTCCCTCCTGGAGCTGTTGGACCCTGCTCAAAACTCGGGCTTCCTGGACCATTACCTTGACGTGCCGGTGGATCTGTCAAAGGTCGGTTGTATGCCAATCGAATTGATGTGTGTGGGCGAGTGCCAGTTCGAATGACCGGTGTCCTTTGTGGGGCATCGTGATCGGCTGTCAATCTTTTTTTTTTTTTTTTTTTTTTTTTTTTTTCGACCTTCTTCCTTAATTTTTCTTCTTCTTCTTCTTTTCGTTTTGCTTCTTTTTTTTTTCCGTCCGTCGCTTTTACGCTTTTGCTTTTTGCGGCACCCGTACAGGTGTTGTTTATCTGCACAGCCAATGTACTTGATACAATTCCTGGACCTTTGCTCGATCGAATGGAGGTGGGTGTTTCAGTTGCCCTCGCCGCGTGTCTTTAAGCCTTGCACTCCTCTATTGTTTGGGATGCATGCTTTGTATGATCTAAGAAAGAAGGTGGCGGGCAAGGCGTGCTTTACATCATCGCCATCATGATTGGGGCCTTCGTCCATTTCTGTTGACAATATGCTTTGCTTGTCCCAGATTATCCAACTCTCGGGCTACATGGCAGATGAGAAGCGCGCCATCGCTAAGCAGTACCTGATTCCAGAGGCTCAGAAGACATCTGGTGTCACGGCTGAACAGGTATGGGTTTGCAGACTGTGTGTCGCAGATATGATGGCTTCTTGGGACCCTGATTGCTGGAAGAGCATCCAAAGCTGATGACGGCTTCACCTGCGCAGCTGGAGATTACAGATGAAGCGCTTGACGTGCTGAACAGGGCGTATTGTCGCGAGTCGGGTGTCCGCAATCTTGAAAAGCACATTGACAAGATTCATCGCAAAGCAGCGCTGAAGCTTGTGCGCGACAATGCCAAGGTGTGAAAGGCATGCTACTTGGCACTGGCGGGCATCTGCCGCGGCTTTATGTTGCTTTCTTGCTTCTTTTCGACTGTTGTTCAGCCTTCCTTGTGTGAGTTTTTCTGGCTGACGAGTACGTGTGGGCTCGGGCCGCATAGACGCTGCGCGTGGACGCCAGCAACTTGTCCGACTACGTGGGTCAGCCCGTGTTTTTATCAGATCGTTTGTACGAGCAGACACCTCCTGGCGTGGTCATGGGGCTGGCTTGGACCGCTATGGGCGGTTCGACCCTATACATTGAGACGGTGGCCTCGCGTGCTGACCGCATGAAAGCCACGGTCCCGGGCGAGGCACGCTCTGATGGTCGCTTTGGCGTGACCGGTGAGTTGTGCTAATGCAATGCAAGTGATTGTGGCATGAACGTGCTAATGCAGGCACGGTTGATTGCGTTTGGGTGTGTTGGACAGGCTCCTTGGGAGACGTCATGAAGGAGAGCTCGACCATTGCGTACACCTTTGCCAAGCACTATCTGGAGAAGGTTGATGAGAAGAACGGGTTTTTCAACTCGGCGAGCGTCAGGTACGCCGTTTCGCTCGAGGCCTCACAGGTGGCGTTTGGGCGCATGGCTGATGAATGGCCTACCCTCGCAGTCTTCACGTACCCGAGGGAGCAACACCCAAAGATGGTCCCTCTGCAGGCTGCACCATGGTGACGGCCCTGCTCTCACTGGCTCTAGACAAGTACGATGCCACTTGCTGCCTGCCTGCTTGCCTGCCTTACAAGAATGACCGGTACTCACACGGGGTTTGCGCGTTAGGCCGGTGCGGCAAAACTTTGCAATGACGGGCGAGGTGTCACTGACGGGCCGTGTTTTGCGCGTGGGAGGTATTAAGGAGAAGGTGCGATCTCTAAAGCAGCTGCGACCGTGGCCAAACCGCCAAATGCATGTGCGGTGCGCGTGTTCATACGCCGGGCTTGTATGATGACAGGTGCTGGCCGCCAAGCGAAGCGGAGTGACCTGTGTGGTGTTGCCATACACGAATGAAATGGACTGGCAGGAGCTACCCGACCAGGTCAAGGAGGGGCTTGAGGTACGTGACCGCTTTACCGTTTTACCAAGAGACAACAAACCTAGGGGAAGAAGAAGCCATGAGTGCGGTTGAAGCATGTAACGTGGTCGACGGCAATCGTTCGATTCGTGTTGGGTTAGGTTCATTTCGCCAAGACATATGACGATGTGTACAAGGTGGCCTTTGCGGATGCTGCTGCGGCTCAACAAGAGTGACCGTACCTGCCACCCGCGTAATATCATCTTGCAAGCCCTGCCCATTCTTGATCAAGCATTCACATGTCAATCAACAAAATCGATCCATAGAGATGTGTCAATACCTACCCAAAGTCAGCAGACACACGACACACGCACACACACACACACACACACACTTTCAAACCTCGACAACTTATTGTGTGATGTTGCGAAACCTTGGAATATCAGCAACTTGCTCACTTTATCTGTTTCGAAAGAAAAACGTGTGCTGCCTCTCTCTCTCTCCCTCGTTACATGTGGTAGTTGTGCTATTCCTCTCTCAAACCA